ATTTTTGCAACACAAGGAAATTGTGAGAGGAGTTCATTTGAAGATTAAACACAATTCTGAAAATAAGATATACCTAGAATGATTTTTCTACCCTTATACATGATTTTTCAACAAGAACAAAAAAATAAAATCTCATCTTCACCATCTATTTCACACCTAATGAATTGATAACATGTCAAATATAACTAAGATCCACATGGTTTGCAGAGATGTGACTTGATAAAGCACACTGATTCATAATATGTTGCTTTCAATCAACACATTTACTCTACTCCTATTCAGCACAAATACTACTTACATGACAATTATAAAAGCTTCATTATGATACAAGTGTATCTTCATCATGCATAACTTCAATTATAGTTATAACTTATAAAAAATGTTTACAATTTGGAAAGAAAGTTAATAAAAATATGTTTAAGAAGTTTATCAAAAGAAGTTATTAATGCATAATGATAGGATTGAGAGAAATTAATCACAAAACACTTTTTAAAACTGAAACTTGTTACTGATCACTAGCTAGTTGCAGATGAGCTTTTTGCTAAACTTCACTCCAAAAAAGAATATTGCTTCTTGGTATAATCGTTACAAGATTATCATTCATATGAATATCAATTCAGTTTCATTCCAAGGATAGAGTATAAATTCAAGATTCAATATTATTACAAGAAGTTTAATGAAGTTAACATTCTAATATAGATTCTAAAAATTCTTCATACTTATATCAATTGCATGTACTGAATGTAAAGATTCACACAGCCACAATACACATACAAAACTTAAAAAATAAATATGTATTTTGTCTTTTTAAGATTTTGTCAATGCCACAATACTATTACAATATTATTACAAGAAGTTTAATGAAGTTAACATTCTAATATAGATTCTAAAAATTCTTCATACTTATATCAATTGCATGTACTGAATGTAAAGATTCACACAGCCACAATACACATAAAAAACTTAAAAAATAAATATGTAGTTTGTCTTTTTAAGATTTTGTCAATGCCACAATACTATTATTTATTACGAGAAAATTTTAATTTTTTTTGAAGTTATATGAATTATTCTTAAGGAATATTAGAATACTTCAAGAAGATCAGACTTTTGATTCAAAGTTGTATTTTGAATATAAACTCTATTTACATTATATAAACGTCTTAATTTCTATGAAAGCATCAATAGTATTTTGGAAAAAAAAACTTGCAATATGCTATAAGTTTAATTTTCAAATTTTAAATCAAACGGCTTTGTTTTGAAAAATACTTGGATGATCTAAGAAACATAAAAAGTTGATACAAAGATTAAAAGTAAGATGTGATTGAAAGAAAGTTTTTATAAAAGTTAATAGAAGATTTTTCTTAATAATACACATCAAACATAAATTTTGGATGTGTGATATATTTGTGTGAAGTTTGAGATTAAATAAAGTTATAAGTTAGAATTGTATTGAATGTATATATCACGCTTTGATACAAATACATGATTGAACAAAAAATTCATGTGAAACAATTTTAGAAGTAGAAAGCTAGAGGGTGAAGCCGAAAAGCTAAGTAACAATTTATATTAAATTTTCAATAATGTAATCTACATCAAAACGTACGGAGGTTCTAAAATAATTCTCATGTACAAACAACTTGATGAGCTAGTTCATTATGATGAATAAGGAATCAAATACAATTAAGATGTAAGTGAAGTTTTTTTTAATGTTTTAGCAAATTTATGAGTTCATTTCAAGTTTATTAGTTTATGTATTATGGATGATAATTCAAAAAATTCTCATTTATTTTTTTACATTAATCATTGAGTCTTTACAACTCAATCTTGATAATGCATTGACAAAAAATTATTTTCTTGGATATTTTTTCCAATATAGTGTGTTGTAAACACTTTGCACTTTTGCATAAGGTGCAAAAGTTAAGTTTATTAACAATTTCTTCATATAATGTATGACTTTAATCTATTTTTTTTATCACTACTTAACTCAAATTTACATTTTGTATATGTTGGATTTATTTGATAGTCTTACCATATACTATTTAAAATGTATACAAACTTGAAGACATGATTCAAGGAAAATATTGTTAGTTTTTAACTCAGATCTTGCCAACTAAGAGTACTACTTTTATAATCCATACGACTAAAATTAATACGTACATGTCTATAAAATTGCCTCTAAAAGATAGCTACATTTAAAAACAAAATTAAGAGAATTATATTATATATTTATGTATGTAAAGTGTATATTTTAAGTTTGAAATTAATTGAGATTTTTTTTATTTGAACTTACAAAAAAAGCTAACAATCAATTCACATAATGTATTTTAAAAGAAATATTATGCAAAATAATGTGCTTAAATTAAAATATATAGTTATTTTTTATTTGAATATTGAAAAAAAATGATATGCATTTTTTTATATTTTTTCATTTGAAGATTTTAATCATATTTTGAAAAAATTGAATATAAATTATTGTAAAGTATTATCATTTGTTGTAATCATCTTTAGTTTATTAGACCTAAAGAATAGGTTACTCAAGATATGATATTTTATTTCAGTTAATTATCTATTGTTGTCATGTTAGCAATCCTTGTGTTTGATAAGTGATGAGTACATACATTAATAAACAATAAGACATTAACAATATGTGTGTTTGTTATGTAAGACTGAATGCGTTTAAATATAATGTTAGTTGAGAATGACACATTAACAATGTGTGTGCTAGTTAGGATTATCCGTAATATCATCAATCCATTATGAAAGAACGAGATGATGAAAATGATATGTTATCTCTTTGTATTTGATGATAAGATTTATATCAAGGAAAGTAAAACCATTGAATTCAAAGATAGTTTTAGAGTATATCCATCATATGAATCAACTAAAAAACCAACTAATATTCTAGTTAATGCAACCTTGACAATTAAAGAATTTGAACAGATAAGATGTAATGACATCGTTGCATCTTACAAGAACAGGGTTTTGTAGCAATCTTTGATTAATTAAAACTAAAATAAATAATAATGAGATATAATTATATTATAATTAAATATCTAAAATCGTCATGTTAGCAATCCGTGTGGAGAATATTTGTGGTAGTTGACATCAACATCTCAACAATTTGTATGTATCTTAGGAAATAATTGAACATGTTAGTTAGTGTATTCATTATTAGTGACAGGTCAAACAATATTGTGTTGGTTAAAATTATCCACTATGTTATCAATCAACTAGAAGTTGAATGGATGGTGGATGTAATATATTATATCTTTGTACTTGTTAATTATATCTACATGAAAATAGAATATATAAAATAAAAAATAATATATTTTTAATCTTCAAATCAACTACTCTCTTACTAATGTTACATCGAAGGTATAAATTTACTCTTCTAAGATATGTATTTGTCTTATTCTATATTATAGTATACTTCAAATCAAATACTTCTCTAGTATGAAGAGTATTTTTAGTCTTCACACATTAGTCATGACATTGTAACTAGTATTTTTCCTCTTGAGTGAAATTTCACTTTAATACTTGCTCTATCCAAAACAAAACCATAATCTTTTCCTTAAATAATGAAGATGCAGGTTTATGTACCAAGCCAAGTTCGAAACAATTTAGAGAAAAAATGTTTGCAAATTTTTCATATTAAATTTTTTTACATATGTATGCAAATTTTTTTTGAAGGGTAATCTATTTTACCATGCTCTAGATTTTTTATTGCTATCTTTCAACCATGATACTTATGGTAATTTAAAAAACCTAGCGAGAGTTACTCTTATTTACTAGCGCCCCATCCCTTGCATTGAATTCTTTAGCGAATCATGAGCTTTTGCATATTATTTTTTTTATTTGAATCTTCTTATACTATTTTCTATATAATTGTCCTTCGGTTATTTTTCTATAATTCTCGCGTCTTTATCTCATTCCTAGTTATCGCTAAACTCGCGGGGCTTTAGAATCAAATCGGTCAACAACTGAGCTTTTCCACGCCCCGAAGTGTCTTACCAGGTCTAAACTTCCTGACGTCCACTAAGTCCACCCTGACTACGTTGGCCACCGGCAGGGACGCCGTTCTGTTCTACGATTCCAGGGCCCGCCGCTTTTGTCCACTCTTTCGACTTCGGGGCGGAATGGACAGTTTGTCGTTCTGCGGTGAAGGTTAGTAACGGTAAGGAGCCAATTGATCGATCGATTGAGATAGACCCCGTCATGGATGTTTCGGGATATGATCGAATGTTTGATGCTCGATATAAATTAGGATTGGTGACTGTCTGGGGTGGGCCTGGTCAGCGTAGAATTCTTGACCGATGTTCTTGTGAATGTGTTTGCTGAAGTCGAGGATCCAACTATTCTGGAGTACAGAACTAGTCTAGTCGATGCATCTTCGTGTGCAAGAAAGTTGTAATGGCCCTCTCAACCCTTTGAGGCTACAGCGTTTAACTGATGGATGAGAGTTCCACCGTGGGGAAGTGATCTTCAGGTAAAGAGGTTCGCTTAGTCAGCATTCTACCGCAAGTCCGCCGCCAATTCACGGCTTGGCCAGAGTACAATTGTTTCCTAGGCCTAAGGCCTAAGTGGATTGATCAACTGGTTCTGCCAACAAAACACCATCCATTCCGATTACGTCCTCAGTTACCTTTCAAGCACGTGAAGTACTTTTCTTCTAGATTGCATTCAAGTGAAATATTTTAACACCAAATGGCCTTCGGGGCTTCAAGTGGAGTTCATCACCCACGCTAGATTCAACAAACTATCAGCCAACACAACGGTAAATGGCTGGAGGCCTGAAAGTAAAATCCGCCGTACGAACTCAAGATTTGTGAATGTATTTTTATTCAAGGAATCATGTACAACGATAATTTATCACTAATACCAGTAAGAAATTATCGATTAAATCGAAAGAAACATTTACACACCCTTGGCCGGATCATGCTAAAATTATCATCCTACATGGACTTGTTGATGTGGATATTTTTATATCATAGGTGCAGCATGATTTTTCATGGCATTCTATTGGGCTATAGCCCCTATCACTCTCTTGGTATAATTTATGCAACGCTTTATGAACCACGCTTTATCACACTTTTGGCCATAGATTGTGTACTTGGGAAAAAATCCTACATCATTAACACTTTACAAGTGAGGGGAATGTGTCGGAATAGTACAGTAACCAATTGGAATCGTACATGCGTAATTATGAATACGGGTATACTTGACTGTTGTAATCTTACATGGAAATATTTCTCCACTTTTCAGAATAATAACTAACATCCTAGCTTTAAAATTGTAAGACACCTATAATTATTTATTTATTTATACTTGTATATATTTAAAAGGATTGAACACAACACTTGAATGCTCAAACTTTCGAGAGATACATACCTCATGGTGTGTTTCACTTCCTCCGTCACTCAAACCCTTCATTCCTACTTCCTTTCCCTCATATATATGAGTAAAGAGCACTACAATATAGATCCTCTAGTTCCAAGACCCACAGATTTACAGAAACCAATAACTTGATGTTGGTTACTGTAATATTTACTACGACTTGGGTATAAATTGGTTAACATGATATTCCTTTCCAGAAATTATAATTGAAGTGACATTTCCACCAATGGCCGCCTCGCGCACTGTCCTACAAAGATTGCAAGACAACAAGTCCTACAAATAATTGTCTACGATTGATAGATGAACCAAGATGGTGCGCGTGGTCTAAACGATCCATGGCACAATCATCGTAGAGAAATGGAAGCCGAGGACAGCTAATGGTCCGGTGCGGCGACCACATCCATAGTGACCTTTCTGACAAAACTTGAGTGATCATTACGAACGTTGTTCTCTCAGCAATTTCCATTTCTTGTCAGTCGTGTTTAAGGATCTAGCGGACCTAGAGCAATCACAGATATAAGTAAACAGTCAAATTGAATCAAGCACATGAATCCTCTCTTCTGGAAGAAATTCCATCTTGAAGTATCCGACACAAGACTTAGTGTGCAACCCTTGAAGAAATGGAAAAGCCACGGGACTTGATGAGACGACCTGTCCTATCGTTCGTTACCTGATATAGACTTAACATTTGCTCTAGGTACTGATCAAAATACAGAATTACGGACCCCACGCATGCAATCAGAGAACCCGAATGAAACAGACGGAAGAAGCCAGAAACTCCAATACAAGTGCGGTCAATCGAGGCCCAAGGGATAGAACCGTAACGAGCAGCAGAAAGCAGAGTTTACGACTGGTTTGATTTTGCGAAACCTCAAGTTTCAGGAATGTTAGACTCTTGAGCTGAATTGTAACCTTGACCGGTGGACAACTTGGCTGTGAACTAGAGACGAACAGAACAAACTCTTCACATGATCGATTACGGCATATTGACTATCATCTATTTCAGAACTGCAGACAGTACTACGTTGGGGAGAGTCGAAGAGTCCAAGATTTGGTACATCTTGAATGAACGCTGCGATGTCTTCGACATCTGCGCAGCGTGAATTCAGAACAAGAATGTACGACTGTCGTCGGCAATCATGACTTTCTAGAGAGAAAGAATCGCGTCATCCCGATCTTCCTCCCTTTGTCTTGATGATTCACGTTTGGCGTTCAAGCGAATCTGCTCATGAGTTCATGTGAATCACTCGTGTCCTAGTTCTCATGATTCGAAATCTAGTCAATGGAAGAAAGTTCTGGGCTCTTGGGTGGTCTGGATGTGACTGAGATTGGTCTCTCCATCAAGCCCTGCTTGCACGAGCAAGAACAGATCACTAACGAACCATTCCGTCGGAATTGAAGCCTTATGAATTGGAGGCACACAGACGCACCCGGTGGGAGATGGGCATGGAAGCACAATTGGAGGCTCGCACGTGTTTCCAATCTTTTGTCCATCCTACAGATGCGCCTCTTCGGAGTCCTGTTCACGGAATCAAATCTCCCACCGAGGATCTTCTGTCGCACTCGGATCCGAGCACACACTTCGCTCTCTGTGTGTCATCACCACAGTGACCTCTGCCACCACTTTCTCGGAGTATGGAGTTTCATATAATAGCTCGAGATTTGGCCAGGAATTCAAACAGGAAGCGTTCGATTCAAGTGACCAGATGAATGTTCCCGACCTGTGAAGGCAGCACGATAGGCTTCCAGATACCTGATGTTGTACATAGGACAGAGGCGACGTTACCGCATGATGAGCTCCCTTACTCCTACTCGGTGATACCAGAACAAAAGAACTGACATCATCGCCCGACCTGACTGGTCTTTCCCTTGTACTTTTCGCATCATGATGAAGTTTTCACGGTCCCAAGGGATGTGAGAAGATTCTGCGAAATGTTTTTCGGACCTCGAAGAGGTCGGAAGAAGCCGATGGCATTCGGTGAAAGGTTCAAAATTTGTCTACATCGTGATCGGGATTTCAAGGTAGGGTAGCTAATTCTTCCAGATGGGAAATCATCTCGTATGACAAAACTAAAAACAGCTCGGATCCAGAACAAGCTCCTGCCGAAATGTGGAATGCTGTGCGCGCATGTGTCTGGCATGCAACCTCATTCGGCAGGAACCCTATCCTAGCGAGGGCTCATCTGACCACGCTCAACTGGAGTGCAGTGCTTCTACTCTTCATATGTGCCCAACACAATCTCGTGGGCCCCGTGGACACTGCGCGCATTCATGGCCCACATCCAACAAATGTGACAACTCGCGCAATCTATGCTTGCGGGATCCAGGGCAAAATATCTCGCCGACGCAGACACTGTGCAGGATCCGGGCGACTGTTACAAAAGCGGACAGCTATGGCGACGGGCCTCGAGTCTCAACAGTATTGTCCAGTTCCTTTTCACACTCACCCGCAACAACGTGGTGCGATTTGTTGCACCCTCGGCCCATGCAGCATGTCCCGTGACATGCATGGATGGAACAAATCCCTTGGACCTTACGCTGCAAAAGGCCTAAATTCTCATGCTGAAGTTTCAGGCGCTTGCGGCTTTCCAGTGGCTTCACTTTAATCCGAAATCGTGTAAAACATCTTCATTGCAAAAAATCACTTGCCCCGTCGACGCGGGTCGAATCACTTTCGGGGTACCAACTTCTTCATTACACAAAAGCAGAGGCTCAGCTGGATGAGTATTGTTATGACCTCTTGGGAAACATCAGGTAGCCAAGAGTGTAATCGTCCGCTCTAAGGTTTGCTCCATCTACTAGCCAACGTCCAAGAAATACCTTTCCTTCCATGACAAGGCAATAAGTCTGAGCAACAATTCTTTCGGCCTTTGGTCTCTTCGTTCTTTCTCGAAAGGTGACTAAATTTCCCACCACACGCGAATCCAATCCAACTTGATGTGTCCGGTCCTAGACGCTCTATGACGCAAAAAGGGTTGGGATGTATTCGCTTGCGATCTTTATCACTTTGAGTGAAGGATAGATCAAATCAGGATTGAGGAACTGTATGAGGGATGGTACGTTGCTTTGTGCGTCTGACGTCCGTGACAAATTCAATTGTGGGCGAAGTGGTCGAAGGCAGCTCACGGAGGAGCTCAAAGTCGGCGAGCGTGAGGCCAATGGCAGGAAGCAAGCGTGGGGGACGAAGCCTGGCGCGGCTTGGGTCGATGGAGGCGAGCGAAGGCGGGCGGTGCACCGGATTCAAGCTGCACCAGACGATGGGGCTTCTCGGGACCAGCTTTCTTGTTGCTTCTGGAGAAAATTCCCCCAAGCCGCAGAGACGACGAGCAGATCCAGGCGACAGGCGGAAAGGCCAACTTTTCCAAAATGGCCTCCGGGCCTTCGCGTCTGTGGAGTGGGGCAGGCCGAATCATGGAAGACGGCCGGGGGCGACGCGTGGAGGGATCCTAAAGATTCCGCATGCGCCCGGGCGCATGTTTCAACGCCTCGACCTGTGGCCGAGATCTGGAATAGTGCTTGCCAGTCTACATGATGGATGACTTCTTCCCCCGCTTGACAGGTGCGCTTATTAATAGCTGGCTCGGTGCTCGGCCCAAGTCCACGACCGTTCAGCTTTGCTGCCGACAGTCGTTCTGTCGCTGTTCTCCGTGCGCACTGAGCTTCGAGAATTGGCATTGATGCGACAGACATTAGACGGACGGTTGGCTGTCCAGGGTTCTCTCCGGTGTCTGGCTGCTTGAGTTTTCTGCTCAGGTTTCGAATAGGCACAATTCTACAATTCTTAGATTACTACAGGTACTACCAACTATCTTATATGTGTACAATAAATAATTTCCACCACGGGGTATGGTTTCAATTTACAATGGGCACAATTATATCCTAACTCCACTTTGATGAGAAGAGCGCGTCACACACGACCTCTTCTCATCAAAGAAGAGGTCACGCGCCGTTTCAATCCTCACCCTTGTAGGTACAGTGGGTTGCTTTGACCAGACTGGAATTGGGCAGAAATATCTCGCAGTCCTTTCCGTCCGATGAAATATTTCCACCATTTCTTCTACTGTTATTCTGAGGGGGACTATTCTCAAACCATTCTCTTCGCAGCGTTCAGTCAAAGTCTGGAAAACACTTTGTATTTCTATACCTTCTACACTTCTGTATACATATATACCTGCCGATATCCTATGCTATGAGGCTGAGGTGGACTCGGATAGGACTGGGTGATGTACTCGTAATGATGAAAGATGGAGTACAGCTTGTTGGTATGTTAGATCTCACGATATTGTGGCCGGCTTTTGGAGCTTGTAGGTCAACATAATCAGGTCAAGCGATGAGTTCAAAACTGTGAAGATCGAACTGGTACGGGACTGAATTCCTGGTTGTAAGACAGATGATTTACATGTCATGTGACCACTTCGACATTTACAATTCCAGAACCGTCTGCTCGCCAAAGGTCAAACCAAAAGTTAAGGAACACATATCAAACAAAGAGAGATCTCAGTGCGGTACACACAGACCAGGAACCTAGTAAGGACGAGTGAGCATGACTCGTGGATAACGAGATATGGTGTGCCTCCAAGTCTACGAACCGAGAACTTCAATTAGATCACTTTCTTCAACAGCATGAATTGTGTCTATGTGTTTGCACAGACATTATACTATTTATACAGCCATGCTCGTTGATTATTGGGTCATCACGAACGAAGGACGATACTTATACTTGGCGTCTCTGTCCATCTGTCATGAGTCCTCAGGATATCCTCTTTCTACATCAGTACAATCAGCTCTCCCCTAAAATTGGTTTGACTGTAAATCAATCTGCACAAATAGGTGATGGGGGGAACGCTATCTATCGACATTCTTCCTCGAACTTGCGAAGGTGGAGAGAAGAAAAGAAAAACTAGCAATTGACAACCTCACAGAAGTCTTCCAAAAGATCCAGCTTCACTGATACATGCCTGGATCCAAAGAAGTAAGCAAAGAAAGGCGAAGAAAAGGTTGGAGTACAAAGGATGAACATATTCAATTGGCCTGAAAGGCCGCGGCTAACTATCCTTCGGCCACCTGTAAATTGCATACTGCTTGTTGAAGATGACTGCTTCCGAGTAGACTGGCTCCCGAGGCTTGAACATGAGCGTTCTCGCCTTTTTGTTGAGGGTTAAGGAGGCAGCAACACCAGTGAACCCGATAAAAAAGCCTATTCCTACTGCCCAGTAAGAAACTAAAGCATCGCCATTGGCACCGGGGGTCTCTCTAGATGGGGGGTAATTTCCAGGGACTTCTGGTGGGGGATGGCCGCAAGGATTCAAAGGAAAGCCGCAGAGATCGTCGTTATCGAGAAAATAGGAAGATGGAAATGTTCGAAATGTGTCTCCCTCTGGAATTTGTCCATACAGATGGTTGCCCGACACATTGAAGTAGGAGAGGGAAGTAAGGCTCGTCAACTCCTGCGGGATGACTCCGGACAGCTGGTTTCTTGACAAGTCTAAAGATTCTATGTTAACTAAATTGGCAAAACTTTCAGGAATAGATCCACTGAACCGATTTCCAGACAAGGTCAGGTACTTCAGATCTCTCAACTCGCCTAACTGCTCCGGAATGCTTCCCGTGAAGTTGTTCTCGGAGAGGTCCAGGAAGTAGCTCATGGACAATATGTATATCAGAGTCTGCGTACTTCCTTTAGCCGAAATTGTGATCTCCACCTCGTAATTCTCGGACACACCAGTGCTTCCATTCATGAAAGCCTTCAGATCGTAGAAACTAAAATTCATGACTCCACTAAAATTATTCCTGCTCAAATCAAGTACTTGCAGATTGCCCAGCTGGCTAATCCAAGGAGGGAACTCTCCACTCAGCTCATTTTCCCTGACAGAGAATATCCGCAAGCTATTATCCAGGCCCTGCAAGGTCGGAGGTAAAGACCCGCGGAGTTGATTCCGACTCAAGTCCAGCGCAATTAGGCCCGTGCAGTTCCCAAGGGAAGGTGGGATCTCGCCTTCCAATCCCGCGTTGGGAATGGACAACGTGATCAGTGATGGTCCAATGTGTCCGATGTTCCACGGTAGTCCCCCGGAGAGAAGATTGTTGCCCAGTTGGACGACAGACAAAGAAGTGCAGTTCACCAAACTCTCTGGAATGGGACCCGTCAAAGAATTTTGATCCAAGAACAACCAATTGACGCTGGAGACTGTCTTTCCGAGAAAACCTGGGATTGGACCCGTGAGCTCGTTCTCACTCAAGTCGAGGCTGACGAGGCCAGTCAAATTGCCAAAACTATCAGGGATTCTTCCCGTCAGCTCGTTCGTGTACAACGACAGCTTCTCGAGATTAGGCAGACTTCCAAGTACTTCGGGGATACGTCCTGTCAAGCTATTATTCGACACATCAATGGTTTTCAGCGACTTGAGAGAGCCCCACGCTTCCGGAATCCTACCCGTCAAGTGATTGCTCCAAAGAGCCACCAGCTCCAGGTATTCCAGACCGTATAATTCGGGAAGGGGTCCCGATAGTCCGCCCTGTGAAATGTCCAACTCGACGAGGCTTCTGCAATTCTGCAGCTCCGGGGGCACACCCCCTTCCAAGTGATTTCCGTACAGATAGAGGTTCTTCAGATTGGTCAGATTCCCCAACTCCGCTGGTATTCCACCGGTGAACTGATTATCATACAGCGCCAAGGTCTGCAAGTTTGTGCACATCCCCAAATTCTTGGGAATGGGGCCGCTGATCTGATTGTTGTAGAGCTGCAAGGTGATCAAACCCGGCATTTGCTCGAACGGAGTGTCGATTCCAGTCAACTTGTTGTTGGTGGCTCCCAAAAACTCCAGGGACGTTAAGTTCCCGAAGGCGTAGGGCAGGGACCCGGAGAAGTTGTTCGCACCTATTCGAATGGTCTTCAGGCTGGCCATATTGCCCATCGACGCCGGCAGCGTCCCATTGAGCCCGTTGGTGTACAGCAACAGCACCTCGAGATTTCTCAGGTTCCCTATGCCGGAGGGGAGGCTACCGTAAAGCAAATTATCCAACAAGGAAAGCTCTACCAATTCGACTAGCCTCTGAATAGAAGAAGGAATGGTGCCCGTGAGCTCGTTGGTTCCCAAATCCAGCGTCTCGAGGCTGGACAAGTTGCCCACGGTCGAAGGGATGCTTCCGGAGAGCAGATTGTCGCTGAGATCCAGAATACGCAACTTTCTGGTGCAGTTGGCCACTCCAGAAGGGATGGACCCTTCCAGAGAATTGTGCTCGAGAACCAATTCCTCCAACTGGCACAACGAGCCCAGACATCCGGGGATGGAGCCCTTGAACCCATTGTAGGACAAGTCCAGCACCGTCAGTGCGGTCAGCCGGGCGAGGTCACAGCCCAGGAACCCCGACAGTGAAGAATTGGAAAGGTCCAGCTGAGTTACTCTTACCTCTCCAGAGGCGGTGGTTTCGCACAGAACCCCATTCCAGAGACACGGGTCGTTGTCCGTCTTCTGCCAGGATTGCAGCTTGCCATTGGGATCGTCGATTCCTTCCGCGAACTCCAGTAACGCACGGGCATCAGACGCTACGGCGTACGACAATGGGTAGCCTTCGACCTCGGGAGATATCACGACAATGAGACCGGCGAGTACGACCAGCAGCCAACGTATCTGATACTCACAGACCCTTGTACTCATGATCTGATACGAACCCCACCGTCCTCCCCCTAATCACCCGTTCTCGCCTTCTCCTGTCAGACTCCTCACCATCATCTTCTGATGCTTCTCTGCTCCTGTGTCTCGACACGGCTTCCGCTCATGCCTTGGGACCATACACGGGCCCGTGTTCAGCAATGTCTCTCCCTCCCGTGCTCCCTCGATGAACGAATCGAGGGCACGACACGAGTTATCTGTCCACGACGAACGGCCACGGGGTATCGAGGACACTCTTCGTTACTTCCTAGAGGGCCTCCGCCATCTCAAAATGAGGTCCCTCTGTGCACCGCCTAATCTTTCGGCGCACAAAAAAAGTGAGGAGGTCAAATCCATCAGTTGTGTCGCCGACGCTGGTACCGAACTGCCTCCAAATGTACTAACTTCCTGACGGGCCCGTCACTACTTCTTCAACTCCGCTTCCGGCCGCATTACCTTCAGCTCGGCTGCTGGCGACTAGAGGCTCCAAGGGTATTCTTCTCTCTCCCCCTCCAGTTCCAATTGTCAAATGTCTTCTAAAGTTGGAGATTCAGCAATCCTTCGCATCCTGTTACCGTCGATGCAGAAGATCCATAACACTCTCACTCACGTGACGCCTCTCGTACACCGAAACCATATATGTTTCTAAGCGGAGATGCTTCCTTCCCCACACCACTGCCTCCGGAGTAGCCAGGTATCGGCCGAGCTTCGGGCACAATCAAAGAGCAAAACACAACCCAAGGCCACCACTTTTCAAGCTCGAATCCCGCGTGCGGAAGCCAACACACACACAAATGTTCCAAATCTGAGCCGGATACGGAACCACGCAAACAAACTTCTCTCAACATTCAGTTCGGGATTTTGTAGTAGAGTGATCTTCACGTCACTCTCGAAGCACAGTACTCTTCGGAAACGGAGATTTTGCTCCGCGGTGGAGGAGGTGAAGACTCGACATACAGACACAAACACGGACACACTGCCAGCCAGCCTCGGCAGCCGAATGAGTAGTCTCGCACCACAGGAGGAGGCTCATCTGCTCACTGTCAACAATCTCATCAAATCAGCAGGAAGGGAAATGGCCCCACTCCGCCTGGCTCACCTTGGGGCCAGCCCTCGGTGCCTGCCTCGCCCTCCTCCCCTCCGCCCCTCGGCCTCGCCTGCAGATCTACCCGCGTTTGACCCAGCGCTTGTATAGCGCTATACATGGCCGTTCTCAACCCGCGCCTTGTCCCGGTTGACCTGGAGTCGCAGGTCCGGCAGTTAGTGCCACTCGGAATCCAGTCCCGGGCGTTGCAGTTTCCCGGGGTGCTCTAGTTCGTAAGTCCACTGGCAGACATGCTGGCATCGACGTGGAAGGAGGGAGCGTTGATACTTCCCGGGCCCCGGAGCTCCCGACTCTGGCTTCCCGGCCAGTGACGACTCCTCAAGCCTCACTCACGCCCTGCGCTACCGCAAAGTCCACCACAAAATCTCGAAGAGACTGAGAGGAAGAGAAAGCGAAAGCGAATCATGGGCGCAGGTTCCTTGGGATCTGCTACCCACATCGCCAAAAGCCTTCTCCTCGACGCGCCTGGCAGAACGTGCGACCGACGAACCAGCGCATCCTCACCTACAGGACCGTACGTACTCTGTCATTTCGTCACCATACTGTACGATTTCCTCTCCAGGCCTGCAGTCCCCAGCTCCCGCCGTCTCCCTCGTGGGGTTCCGGCATCTGCCAACAGAGTGTTTTTGTCCGAGGTTTCGGTCAAAAGCTACTCCGGGACTTCCCGTCTCTGACACCATGTTCCTCGCCCTCGCCGTGTGTTTCCCCCACTATCGAAACTTCCTCTATTGTGTCTAGGTCCACCGGAGTACCATACCCTACCCTACCGTATCGTACGGATATTGTCGCTCCTCGTCTACGCTGTTCCATCCGTATGCGAAGAGACGCGGAAGCCTACATCAACCTCGTCTTCGCACCGCCTACCGTCCATCGCCGTCGTAGATTAACTATGTGGCAGTCCAGAACTGCGCCTCGAACCACGGCCGTGTCAAGCTTACGCAGCCGACGTTCGTGGCGCTGCATGAACATGAATATTAATAATCAATTCGCGCAGTGGGGACAGGTGAGCTCGAGGCTCTTTGAGGCCTATTTTACATCCCGACCTTTAAGATGCGCGGACTTTCATAGGAATCTAACCTAGCGTTGTTCAGCGAGACCAACAGCAGAACTTCTGCGGGAGGGAAGCTCGCATCCACGTGCTCATTAAGAGCTCTACCCGACGCTCTCGACATCAGAGACGACATTGGGCGTCGCCGGAGCCCCGGCTGTCCATGCCGCGATAAAGACCATAAGAACATCGTGGCCGAGCTATTCCCGATCGAAATCATCACCTCGTGCCGAAACCGGATCAGAGGCATGCTTGTCTTCGCTCCAGTGTCGTCGGTTTCCCAGGATCGTACTTTTACCATCCAAGAGTTGCCATGATTGTTTCAATCTGCATTGCTTCCTCGAGGATTCACTCCGTTATTGTTGTCATCCATGTGTGGCTGGAGCTACGGCCCTCCCGGAGTCCCGGCCAGTAACCTTCCTTATTACTACAATGCTCCACGCTCATTATACTCACCGGTAATCTGACGAAATTAGCACCTGCAGGGTGATGAAATTGGAATCGAAGAGCTGGCAGACCGGCAGAGCCGGGCTATCAGACCTGCAAGTCCAACAAATAGCTAGGGCAACAAATGAAGCTGTGCGCTCCATATGAAACGCGAGAATCTGCAGTTATTGGCGCCTAATACCTCCCCACCCAGTTGACACCCAGAGCACGCATTAGCAGCTTTAAGCATGTCGAAGGATTATTGCAAATTTATTTACTCGCTTTTCTTTGCCGCGGCTTCTGTTGCCGAAAACGTCCAAGATGGGAGGAGCCTCATCTCATCTCGCTTCCACTGGACTCGGCCTCCACCGGACAGAAAAGACAAATCGCGAGTCTTCTTCGACCTTCGTCGATCTCATGTGCATTCCCTTGCCTTGCTGGGTGCCACACTTCCCTCAGCAATCCCCTCGTCCAGTCTACTCTACTCAGTCTTACCTCGCTTTACCGACCCGACGCGGTACATTGACACCGCCTGCATGATGACCCCGGTGGGTCAACCGGCGTCATCCCTACCATCCATTTAGGGCCGGGAACTCCCGGCATCCCCCGGCGATGCATTCCGGGACGTTACATCCAATTAATCGATAGGACAACTCGTAGGAATTTCTGAGCACGTGTCCTGCATGCATAGGCTATCTTAGATGGTGAGAGGTTAAGCGTAGCTATCATGCCAGAAAAAATATAAGCAACAGGAAAAACGATAAAAACTTTCTATATATTTTCCTTCTGGCGGTGCTAAACGTTTGGAAGCTCCGATCGAGATCTCATTTACGCTTTGCTATTATCGGGAAGTCGAACTGTGAACGTAGATGAAGCTTTCGACCTCATCTTCAAATTGTCGTGTTAGTGGATATGGATTGTTCCCCTGCTAGTGTTAATCCGTCTACCCGCCCGTCCCCTCCGTGGGATCGTACCCATCTCCGCGGTTTTTGTTGATAAGTCGTCCTTCTGCCGCAGGCAATGGACCTCCTACTCCGTAAGTGTGCGAATACTTACTGTGGTGAACTTCTCACCTGTAGCGCGGGATGCTGAAGATCTCTGTGCACACTCTTCGATTCGATCTAACGGCACGAAACAAAGACCTCGGAAGAACCGCGAACACGCTCTGCGGGATGTGGTGGGCTGTAGAGTTTTGGGCTTATGTACAACTGTGTAGACTTTAGCGTTCGGTACAGTATGGCTTCTGCATGTTAGACACACAATACACAAGGGCCGATGTACATAGACCAGCTTTTGATCTTCTACAGCGCTTCGTTTCTTCTTTCCTGGATAGATGTTCAGAGTTTCCCTTTGCTATCCAGTGCTCACCGGATTACCACATCGGACTCATCTACCACCGTAAGGGATCACATCAAGAAATACGGCAGGAAGGCATCGTATATCGCTTATTCTATACGGCCCACCGGCCCAAACTTTTGCAATCGAACCATGGTTGATGGTTGATGGACCCTGAGAGGCGAATGGTCTGATTCTGCTTTAATGCTTGTCGATTGGAACTTTGTGTTTGCTGGGGTTCAAGTGAGAGTATTATGTTGCTAATCCTGGTTGATCAAGTTCATCTCCACCTCTCCTTTAGTTCCAACCGCATCATCTTCGCAACCATGTTCGGAGAGATGGACTTCTGAATCAAGACAGAGATAGTCTGTGTGTGTATGAGATTTTATGAAACACTCTCGGGTTCCATTTCTCATTTCAATGCACTTGATGCAATGAAGACTTTATCCACATAAGCCTTCTCACACCTCCATGGATGGAACTCCTAAACTTTGCTCTCATACTTCTTCTTGTAGTTTTTTTCCAACAAGAATAAAGTATGGTCTTAAAGCCGAATTCTTGCAAGATGTCTGGATTACATCCATGAATATTTACAAGCAGGTTTGATGTTGGAAGTGGAGGTTTTAATAACAACACGAGAAGAGGGTGTTACATGTCATTCAGTACATACAAAGAATCAATATATTTTATTCTTGATTTGATCTTTCCTAGCTATGTTCAAGGCCTTCTCATATCATATGCTCAACCATTTCATAGGTTGAGTTTATCCAAACATACTGAGTACATAAAGTTTCTTCAACTTAAGACAATTTGATTCAATATTTGTTTGATCTTATAACCCGATGACGACAAAAGTCTTCGAATTAAGATTATTTTTTTATTTTACTATATCACTCAAGAATATATGGATCTTGTTCATGTTTAAAGTTATCTCAAATATTGTTGACTTCAAATTATTGGGTATCAACACAATAGTTTACTTTGTGAGATGTTGAAAGTGAGCATCACTTCCAACGTTTTACAAAGTAACATCTCTTCAGAGTGTTTGAGTCTTATCTCTCAATATATTATTGATATTGGCGTATATTATAAGGCTTTAGTTGTAACTTAGATTGGATAAAATTACAACGTTAGATATTTAATGAGATCAACATTCACAACAGATAAAGGATATCAACAAGCTGACTTACTGTTTCTGGTCGTAAAAAATCTCAGAATTATTGGAATGAGATCAAAGAAAGGAGAAAAAAAATTTATGAGTAGAAAAGATTTATAACAATAGAGATGACGTTGGATGTAAAAAAAAAAAATTTAAAATTGGGAAATTAACATCAGTCAGTATGATAACCTGACATGGTCTATAGTTCAATTACACAACGCATATGCGTTGTACTCGATTTTAAAAATGAACAATTTTTAAAAAAAATGTGATAGAAGGAAAAATATATGTAATTTAGTACATTGTTCTAAAAAACATATCATTAACATGTCTTTTTGGTAAAAATTTGATGACCCACTCTTTTATTATTAGGTTTTTCTTATGATAAAGTTAACTTTATGCAATGAATTTGACTAAAAAATATGTAAATAAAGAAATGATGGCAATTTATAAAAAAGGAAAAATAATTTAGCCAAAGGTTTAGATTTTCTCACCGTGAAGCAATGTACGTTTAATGGAAAGAATATTTATAGCTTTCAATAGGATTATGATTGAAAATCATGTATTTGAAGTTGTATGGATCGCTAATTTCTGCGATTGAAACAACTTAACATTATGATGTATGTGAAAAACTGATAATATTCGTCTCTTCCAAATAGTGAATCATGTATAATGATTCACTATTTGGAAGAGACTAATATTACAAAAGAGGATTTTATCAAGCGTAAACGGCGTAAAACGGAGGTGCATAGTCGAATTTTACGAGAAGTTTAGGCATTTGGAAATCACAGTGAAGTTATATGGAAATATTAAGGGTACTTTCTGCATATCAATGACACCATACACAAGATCATGTCATGCTACGTAAAAATTTCCAAACCGTACTAAAGTTTATCGTACTAAAGTTTGTAATAGTTGACATGTATTCATTCTTCTACAGTTAGCACTACTTTGTTTAATAAAGGGAAAAAAATTGTTATGTATATCTTTCTTCCCTACATATTAGGATAACTTAGATGCAGAATGACCAATTTTTCAGGAGTATGATAATGATGCATAGCCCCATCTTACTCAATTCAATCTTATCAATGTGCTACTAGATGCGATCTTTCAATAAATTCTGCTATATTTTTTGGAATTTTTATTTTCTATCTACTTGAGGAAAAGGAAATTTACCCGCCATTTATTGAGTATCAAGGAGTCAAAAGGTCAATCATAATTACTGATTTGAGTACAAGATTTGTACCTATTTCATATAAGGCATGTTTAGGTGTACCATGAATTTGGAGACAATCGTGCTGATCAGTTGAAATAGTAGAAGAAAACTATTTCTTTTTCAGGAAACTAAAAACATCTCACCGATTTCATAAATCTCAAATGCTATTAAGGTGTGATTAAACAACTTTTGTGCATTATCGTGTTGTGCGTTTTCGACCTAACTAGGTCGTTGACGGAATCTGGGCTCGATGGGCGTTTCCAGGCAGAAGTGACAAATAATTGTACTACATCGTATTCTTCTCTCCCGTATGAGAATATGGGAGAGTTCTAGTACGAATATGAACCATACCATACGTAAGATTTCAAGTGCGGAATACGGCTCTTTCGTCGGGGTTTTTAACATTTTGACTTCCTTCGGCTTCACCTCCTTGGACTTACAAAATATAAATTTTCACTTGTTTTTTCTATTGTCTTGCAGGCCAACCGGGGTACAGCGGTCAGAAAGCTAATGCGTTGAAAACTTTGAGGTGGCGAGGATCAAAGGCGCGCCATTGCTGTGAGGCTGAGGCTTAAGAAGCAATGATTTCAATTGTGGAGGGGTTCACATTCTGGTGAGAATGTTGGAATACACAAAGAAAAAGCGTCTGTCCTCGATCTTGTTGCTTTTCGTTGCCTGTTGTCTGTGGCGGGGTCGGGCGTTTAAAGGTGGGGACGTATCGATTTGTTGTGGTCCGAGACATGATAAATTACTCCGTTGTGTTGCAGCTGTCGCCTCCTACTCCAATTCTATATCTTCACGAAACTTTACTCATGGAACATCCAACAGCGTGTATGCATTAACAGCCAAGAAATAGTAGCACCGTCTCATTCCTCGCTTTCACATGACTGCCGCCATGGACGCAAGCGTATCCACTCGAATATCGAAGTGTTGCATTGGTTTCGGAATCCCAAGATTGCATGTGTTCGGCCAGTTGGATGCAAGTGTATCGTTACCCGAAAGTCGAAGCACAAGCACAGATATTCCAGATGGGTTCAAGCCATTGGATTGAAAGGAAAACTTTGATCTCCGGAAGGTTTTTGGTATTTATGGCCTCTGTTTTTATGCAGAATTCCGAACGTAGTGAAGGTCAGATGGATGGCACTGTTTATAATGTCGTTGAGCGGAATGTCCTTTTCTGTAGCGTACTTGGATTGGACGGCGGTTGTGGGTATGGTCATTTGATCTAGAAGGCTATATACTTATGAGGTCATCTTACAATCGTTTCGAGGCCAAGACTCAGGATCGGTGACGGAACCTCAAACAGTCGTTTGTAATGAGTTTCGTTACTCACAGTGCTTGACGTTTGTCTTCCTATGGAGCAAAAGTGCCTGACGTGAGATATCATCTGTCAACTTGGTAGGGCGAAGTGTCGAGGCGTAATTTGACGATGTTCTCCTTCTATGCATGCACATTCAATTAATGATCTGGGACAAGGGAAGGCATTGATCTATAAGAAATCATCGTAGCTCGCATTTATCTCAGGTACGCATGGGGTGAGCATTGAGTCGAGCCAAGTGTGAAGGCAAACCACCTGTGTTCACGGAAGCAGAGCACCTCCTAATACTACCTACTTGAGAAGTCCAAAAGAATTCGTGAACAGTTTTGCATGACTTAAGCCTTCAAACTTCTTAGCCGGGTAACGTGTTGGGAGACAAACATACTGATAAGGAGAAGGCCTACGAGTGAGAGGGAGTCTTCGGCACCAGGAGAGTATGCTTCGATGAAAGTTTCGCACTTCCTTAACTTGGCATTCAATCAACGGCTTATAGAGATATCTACTGGCTGTAAAAGGAGGATTGAAATTTAGTCACAACTAAGCTCTATCTACAGATATGCCTCTGCTCACATTTTGGGGTTCAGACAAAGTATAAAAATTAAAAAAACCTCGGAACTTACCTTCTCCTGTGACGCTACTCTGCTGGACCTACCTGTCCAACTATAAGAAAACTTCATACTGGTACATGATCAGTATAAAGCCAAGTAGTCCAAGCCATCAAGTCAACGTTATTTGAAACCGAAAGTGTAGAGGGTATTATGAACTCAAAAGTGTAGATGGTAGCATGCTTAGTAGTTAACTCAAGTGTTAGTCAATTTTTGTTAGTTTCACTATCAAAGTTATATTAGGTTAAGAGAATCAAATAAAATCTCTCCATGAAATATCATGTTGACGTAGTTTCATTTAGATTAAGATTATGTATTCCTGTTTTTTTTATTTTATTACATATGTTTGTTTGTCTACACTATTCGATAGTTGTGTCTGAATAAATTTTGGTTTCAAATGATATCAAAGTAAACTTCAGATTCTACAAACGATGATTGAAACATTGAACATTGGCAAAACATCAACACCTCAGTTGGACATGAGGCACACATGTTTAGGTTAAGAGACGACCTTCATCATAGGCAGCAAAGATTATAAGGTTTGGAGACTGTTTGAGACGTTTTTGAAAACATATCAAGTGAAATTGTTTTTCCGTGTCAGTGGACTGAAGCTCCAGAGTTAATAGTCGGTCATTTCCTCCGTCGATTATTGTGTAATTCCGACTTTAGTTGATCGTTTTCTATCACTGCGTTTGTTTTTTATTCGCATGTAAATTCAACTTTGGTTGGTCGCCTATTGCTACTGGTTTGCTTTTACTTACAACAATTGCAACTTAAGTCAATCTTTTATGCTCAACTTTTTCTCAAGCTTTTTTTGAATTCTTATTATTGGAGTACGTTTGTAGCATAATTTGTAATGTAAATGCAAGTAGTGTTGAGATCAATATAAATACCTTTGGCCTAGCTTTCGATGCGCTATGACTATGATGTCTTGAAATGGTGAAGACAAGAAAAATGTTGAGTTTGAGATGCAATAAACAGCAAGTTGTCAACATGATCCAAAAGTTCTCAAAACATAGTGAGATGATGAAAAGATTATAATGACTACTAGTCTCATGTAATCTAATTCATCTATTCTTTCCAATGAAGAATATGTCAATAACAATCATTAAGAATATTCTGTATAAAGCATTTTTTTTATCTAGAGAAATTTGTTATGTCAAAGTCTAAAAATGTTGGTAATAAATAATTTTTAAGTAATTTTTAATTTTAATTTTAAGTAATTTTTTTGGCTCACTAGATTAGAAATTAATCTTTTAGTCAAACTTGAGATTGAATCTTTTTTCACTTTCGCTTACGATTCTTTTATTATTATATTGCAAGTTTTCAATTTTATTTTCTTCTACTGCCTCTTAATATTTTTACTTTTTGCTTCGTATCATAATTAGTTTATTTTTTAATTTTCACTTTGTCAAGTTTAACTCGTAAAGATGTTATTTGTCCGTGCTTAAAAAACTTTGTGTCTTATTTTTCTTTTTTCACTTCCATCTACTTTGGTTTTCTATTGTTAAATCCATTGTATAGAATTTTTTATCTTTGTCATATTTTTCATCGCCATCATTTTTTTTGAATTGATCTTTCTTCACATTGTCACATAATTTCATTCCTTTTTAGATCTTATCACTGTACTCTTTTGTTAGTCATAACCAGTCTTGTATTTTAGCTTTAAATCAGATCTTTATTTAACTTCGATTATCGTAACCTTGGTCAATTTATATAGATAGTTTGTCATTATATAAGAAAATTAACCAAGGCTTTTATTGTGAAAATTATAGTTTGTTTAGTACCGAGTACACAATTTACCACACATTGCTTAGTGTCTACTGTAAGTTTATGTTTCATTTAATGGACTGAATGCACGTTTGATCATGTACATGACTTAACATTGTCATCATTACTTATTTTATATTCTCATCATTGTTGTAAATGCTAAATGTTTATTCTTTATTTTTTTTCACCTCTAAATGTTTAATTTCCAAAATACTTGTCACTTTTGTCACTTAGGTAGTTTTTTTTTTCCTTTTGAAGCTTTGGCTTCATCATTCTAAAACTTTTCTATTGTATCTTTGTTTTTTGTGTACGTTGACTTAGACATTTTGTATTTGTACTCCGGCTTTGGCACTTTATACCAACACTTTGTTTTGGCAATTCATCTTTGGCGTTTTAGGCCTTTTGCACTTTGGCTTCGTCATGTCGTATCACCACTTCGTCTTCAATACTTTGTATCAGCTCTTTGACTTCCGGTACTTCGGTATCGGCAATTTGTATTGGCACTTCCGCTTGTAGTAGCACTTTGTATCAATACTTTGTCTTCTGTGTTCATCTTCAGCTTTTTTGTATCAGCATTTTGCTTTGGCGTTTATTCGCTTCTGCAAGTCGGCTTGTGCACTTGTATGACCACTTTGTATCAGCATCCTCCACTTGAGGTTCGGCACTTCGTATGACCATTTTTTGTCAGCATTATGTGGAGGCACTTCTGTATTTTGGCTTTGGCGCTTCTCATTGGCATTTCCTCTTGGACATTTTTGTATGACCGCTTTGCATGGGCATTCTGTATGTTGGCCTTGTTGCGCTTCTTATCGGCATTTCCGCTTCGAAGCTTTTGTACTTGAGGTTCAGCCTTTTGGCAGTTTGCTCTACTTTAGCTTTATCATTTCATATCAGCAAATCTGCTTAGGTGCTCCTCTTCGGCTTTGACATTTTAGCTTCGATGCTTTTGTACTTCGACTTCGTAGCCTCTCTACTGCGGCACTTGGAATGGTCACGTCGGATGTGTAAATGACATTCGAATGATTTTGTTTTTGTTGGGCTTGATCAGATCTTCCCACAATTTTTCATATCCATGTGGAACTATGAATTACTTGTGAAGTTAATTATCAATTTGAGATGTAATTACTTGCACGGAATATACCTTGCACATCGAGTGGAATGGGTAATTTTTATGATATTAAGAAATTCTTCTACAGCAAGATTCATAAGGTTTCTCCTAGAGAAGAAACAAACTTGCATCTCAGTCTTGGGAGATTGAACTCTTGTCTTGTTGAAAGAAGACTATTTAGCGAAATAAGTCCGTACTTCAAACAGCTCTTCGGCCTCGTGATCTAAACGTGAATTCGTGAATTCTTTTTGCTTTCTATACCTTGAGTTGCAAGAACTACTGTTTTATTCCCCTAGTATGCGTCTAAGACAGACCAGGAAAATTGCATCACTCCGTAACTTGAGGTTTGGCTGCCCTCTCTCCAGTGCTTCGACATGTCCACCTCTTGATAGCGCCATTTTCTTTCCAACGAAGTACGACATAAAATAACATCGCCACCTACTAGTTGACCAGAAAATTTCCCTGTCAGGATATGAGCAATTAATGTCTGGAACTGGAGATAGAAAATTGGATAGGGGTATGAGGAGTAACTCTCGGCGTCAATATTGATGTGGTACAACAAACGTCATCAAATAGGATTTTTAGAGGCTGAAAAGCAAAGAGGTGCCTAGCAATGTGACAATTTCAATGACTGTATGATGCACTGTTGCGGTTCCTGCGAATCAATGAATCTGATCGGCTCCTCCTCGAGGTAATGAAACTTTTCGTCATGCTTTCGGAGAAACGGAAAATGACATCGTTGCCTAACAACTCATTCCTGTTCTCAGGCATTCTTCTTCGTGAAGATGCATGCTTCGCAAAAGTGCCGCAGTGGACATTAGGCAACGTTGTCAAGACACGGAAGCTTCTCCATCCACGTGTGTTGCAACAGGCACCGCGTGCTCGAAAGCTAGTACGTGCAGCCATCATCCACAGTACATAGTTGAACACTCAATAGCCGAGAAAGACAATTTGGCGGTAGAAGATCATCTGCTTATCGGTTGAAGCTGGGTAGTAGCGATTTGCTGCCGCCGGGTCGATAAAATTGTAGATGATCTCGTGCCTTCTGATCTGCAATCGAACGGGAGAACCAAGTGATTTGACAAAAGACCCGTCAAACTGCAAAAGAGTATGAAACTATATGGGCAACATGGTTTTTGTTATATAATATAGTTGAGGTTTTAATTGAAACGAACTACTGGCCGAAAACTATCACATAGTGAGATTATTCTTTTCTCGAATAATTTTCTGTATAAAATATTTCATATACAATATGAACACTTGAATAAAGGAAAATTTATAAATATGCATTTGAAGGTTATTCTTACGAAGTTGAGGATATTCTGCCAGATGGAGAGCGGCTTCGAGATTATCGTCTTAGACAAAAGCAAAGATCTACCTCTTCCACCATCCTCCATCCAACAGATGCTATGCTATGCTATGCTATGACGATGCTATATGGGTCGACAGGAATACGAGAAGATCATGGGCACTGTTTCGAAGTGTGTGGCAGAACGCAAGGGGCTCGGGCCTTGATTGATTGTGTTGCCCGCGGTTTTGCACAGACTTCATTCTCAGCACTCAATAGGGTGACATTCACAGGCTTCGATCATGTTCTATGAGTCCCGGGAAATAAACTTCTAATCTGGATACAATTGTTGCATTCCGGGACATGTTGCGTGTGAAAACACCACGCGATCGATGCCCGTATGGACATGCTGTATTCCGCAGTAAAGCAGGTAACATTATTAGCTCTAGATACTCTGCCGAATGATGACTGTTTCACAAGTCGCCTCGACATCCATTTTTTCGGTAGCAGTGCCAATCCACCTTTTTCACGGTTAGAGTAGCTACCAGAATAGGGCTCAGAGATTCGCTTCATTCTCCCCGTTCGCTCTGGTAGGAACGAATCTGGCTGGATGCACTCCTTGCAACCGGAAGACACTGACGCTAACGGAGACCAAGTCCCTTAAGGATTGACATAGTCCATGTTTATCCGGGCCCGGCCGGTCGCTTGCGAGGTGCGCTTGCGGTACGAGCAACATGCGACGTTCGATGTGAAGAAGATGCTTCCTTGCGTAAAAGAAGATGCTTTAAGCAAGTGGTGTGCTACTGACCCCGCCCACTCTCGCCCGCCCGCTCAGCGAGATGAAAGGGGCAGGTGGAATCGGACATACACTCATCGCATTTTCAAGAAACGCTGGGTTGCAGTTGATTGATTACTAGAGGCTTGGATCCACGCGGCTAACTTGTTGAACTTGTCAACAACAAGCTTTGCCCTGAGTTGTGGTCCGAGGCTTTATCCCCATTTGACCTCTTCCGTCTGAAGAGCCGGTTTGAGCGAAGACCAGCCGAACCGGTGTCGGCTCTCATGCCCATACGGCAGCTATCGTCGCTGCTGTATCCGGGAATTTACCGGATCACAAAAACAACTGCTCTCCCTTCAATTGACAGCTACGTGAGCTGACAGAGAAATGTTTGGACTCAAGATTTGTATTCTTGACTCGACAGAGATGTCCCCATCCCTTGCGTGCCAAGAAACTGATCGAGAGAATCGATCGTGTTCCTACTCAGTAAATGCAATTACGATTTGATCTTCACTGACCGTCTGCTGCATCAGAACGATGGAGGAGGCTGGCCCAGAATCATCAATGCAGATACAATAATCCTTTAAACCATCGCAACATAAGATTGTTTAAGAGCACATCAGACATGTGTTCCTTCTAGAAGAACATAGTGAATCTTACATATGACCCCTTCAATTCTTCAACATCACGAGATTGTGTGTGCTGGAGGCCTTGGGGGTGGAAGTCCTAGGAGATCAGGGCACTGGCAGTAAGTTGAAAACGAGATTTGAGATTCGTTCCAGACAATGAGAGCTCAAAAGAGTGGGAAAATAATTATATGGAAAAATGTACAGGGGAAGATTGCATAGAATCACCGTTTTGGATGTGTAGTTTGGTCACACAGAAGCACACAAAAGTCAACGGAAGACGCAGGATATGCAAAATTATCGTGTCCATCCGTACAACCATTGCCGTTGCTAACTAGAGATGATGACCGAGTTGCGCGAAAAACGTGGTGATGAGCATCTAAGCGTCGGAGGGATGAGAGGAGTGGCTTCTGGCCTCAACTCAATGTTCGGAATTTTAGATAGAATGGCACACTGAAAGGCATGTTCACACCTGAAAATTCAAAAGATAGACGTTTTATATGTGATCAACTTGATACTACCCAAGATACATCCTCCGACTTCAGCTCTACTCTTGCACGTGATACTAACCCTGCCTCCCGCCTTAAAGGGGAAGCCCCTGGGTGCGAAAAGTAATTGGCAGACCAAGGAAGGTCTGCAAGTATTTCTTTGTTCTCCAGTGAGATGAATTGTTCAGATATCCAGGACAATCTCACCTTTCAGCAGGACGAAGCTTTTGAAAGCCATTGCCCTGTTTGGCTATGGACTTCACCTTAGCAACAAGCTGTTTACGAGCTATCTCTTCATCTGTATTTGACGTATCTAAAGAATCATGTGCCACCAGAATCACTTCGTCTCCTTCATCAGCATTGACTCGAGTAAACACTGCCCTAGAATCTACTACCTCTTTGTTATCCTTACTATCCATTACACCCAACTCAAGGAACGGAGTTGGCTGAACCTCCTCCCTATCAAAAAGCTTCGCAATACCTTCTAAAGTTTTTCCTTTCGTCTCAGGCACAAAGACATATATGAAGACAGAGCCCAGAAAACCCATGCCCGCAAAGAGGAAAAATGTTCCGGCCAGAGTAATCGCATCCACAAGGCTCAGAAAACTCAGTGCCACCGCCCCACTCGCAATCCTGTTGACAACAATCCCCAAACCCATGGCTTGCGCACGGAGTCTTTGGGGAAATATCTCAGATGTGAGAACCCAGTTAATGGGACCCATGCCGACGGAAAAGAAGGCCACATAGGAACATATTGCCAGTATAGCTAGAATAGGTGCAAACCCAGACCCTTGCGGTGCACTCAGAGGAGCTCCAGCGACCCCATTAGGAAGCACATCGTCTGTTGCGTCTTTAATACCGATTGCCTGAAACCCTATAGCTAGAACTGCTAAGGAGACTGTCATGCCTATAATGCTAGTGAGTAACAATGGTCGCCGACCTGCCTTGTCAAGCCAGATTGTTGCAACCAGAATGAACAGAGTTTTAGAAAAGCCCACGGATATGGTTGCCCCGATGCTTGCCGACTTACTGGATATTCCCGCTCCATTGAACACTGATGGACTATAATACACTGTGGCGTCGATACCCGTTGACTGCTGGAAAAATTGGACTCCTAATGCTACAATAAGCATGCGCCGAACGGCAGGAGTTGGATACAGAAGTTCACGCCATACGCCTTCCCCGTGAGTGTGAGCAGCTTGATTCCCACCTAAATGCACACTAATGCCTTGACCAGGCCAAGTAGATCTACTTGTTTGCTCCTCAGTGGAATGCATAATTCCAGTCGCTGCCATGATCTCGGCAAGCCTCAAGTCTGCCTCGTCTTTGTCATCGGAGGTCCTCAGGAGCACAACTTCTGCTTCTTGGATGCGGTTTTGCATGACGAGCCAGCGAGGAGATTCTGGCATCATAAGAGCACCTCCAATCATCAAAAGAGATGGAAAAGCACCAAGACCTAGCATGATTCTCCAGTTTATGTTTTCAGGTAGCCCAGCGAGCATGTAACTGAAAACGTATCCTAATAATATACCAATGTTGATAAATATTTCGGGAAGTGATACTAGCGAACCCCGACTGCTGGCAGGAGAAACTTCTGCTGTATAAACTGGAGCTACCATCAGAGCAAAACCTACTCCGATACCCGCCAGTAACCGACCCCCCATTAGGACTCCAAAAGATGGTGCAATTCCCATAGCCAGGGAACCTACTAAAAAGAAAGCAGCGGCTACTGACATCGTCCATCTTCTGCCCACAGCATCTGCCACTCTCCCAGAGGCACTTGCACCTAAGAGAGAAATAATGCTCAGCGATCCCACCAGCAGTTCCACCTGCCATTGTTCGAGCTCAAGGTCTTCCTTGATGTAAAGTACAGCCCCGCTCATGATCCCAGTGTCATATCCCAAGAGTATGGAGTTAAGAGATGCCAAAAGAGCACACCATACGGCATACTTGTTCAATTTTTTACGGGTCCCCTGGTTGCTCGTGCCTGCTGAATTCAGCAACTCATACTTTTGAGTGCCTCTTAACCCCAGTTCGTTTGACACTGAGCTATTCCACGCATTGTGTCCCTTGCTATTGACGCCTTCGGACACCTCGTCTCTCGAACCCTCCATCATCATCACTACTTCTGTTCAGACACCTTAGGCGTTGCCTGGAACCAAATCCACTTTGAAGAGGGCAGGCTTGTACGAAATGCCGCAAAGAAAACGCTGACATGTAGATTCTAAGACAATGTCAATCTGCATTTGATTGACACTAACTTGATTTAGAGCTGTGGCTACATGTTGTCCATGTGGTCGAAAGCATGGTGCAAAATACACCGACACATGCACAGCTAGTACAGAATGATCAGATAAGAAAATGCAAGGCATTTTCTTATCTGATCAATTGATTAGCTAGTTCAAAGGCTACAACTTGAAGGAATTTAATATACAGATGCAACTAGCAAATTTCTTCTAAAGGCACTGTTTGTCATGAAACATTCAAAATACAAACTGTTGAAACTGAGACTGCAAACAAGAAATAATCATGACAAATTATTACTATCTGTTGTCCAACATGCAGACCTGACAATAGGGATAGTACAATGGCCTAAACGATGGATCTTAAGTTTTCGATGTAAATGGCGAGTGATGGGTTTGCATTGTTTGAACTTGAATGTGGAAACTTAAAGCAACAGTAAATTCCATGCACATAGATTATTCACTAGTTTACTCGTAGAGATTCACAAAGAAACAGAAAGACATGACATTTTCTGCGTGTGGCAAACCATGACATCCTCCAACTGTAGTACATGCATTTCTAACTCGTCCTCAACTAATGCAATAAAGAAAAACATCCGCTTTGCTCAAAGGGACATTCATCGTTGTTCATCTCTAGTTACATGTTATGATGTCAACATGTACCTACATTTTGCATAATTGAATTCATCTCCCAAAGTAGAGGTCTGTAAGTAACTCGTAATAAAAAAATCAGTCCCTCACCATGAAACGCTTGAAGAGTTTGGAGAACTTCTGTAATAGCCGGTTTATCCTGATTTTGACTTTGGCTTCCTCGAACGTAAAATGACAACACCGATGAAGATTGCCACGAAGGATAGAAGAAGCACACCAGCCAAAACAGGAATGATGATGGCGAATTCCCTGGCGGGAAAGTACAGGTGAATGAAGTGCTCACTGTCAACAAAGGGCTAGACACACATCAAAGTAACGATCAGATTCAATTAGACACACAAATTCGACATATACTATTGCTAATATGAATCAAATTATCTTCATTCTCAATGTAAAACTTAGTGCAATCAGAGCTAGGAAAGGTACCAACACAATTCATAGTCATACTATTCTTATCGAGGGAGGTACAATTGTGAAGATGAGCGTAACAGTTTCAACTCCTCAAATAGATATTCAGATAATTTAGAATCAAAATCAGCACCATTTGGGGTTTGCAGGATAATCCAAAGTTAGGAAAGTATCTCTGATACTGAGACATATACAAACTAATAGTTAAATCAAGAGAATCTCCTAAAAGAAAAGTTTAGTGCTAGACATGACGTGAATGCCTTAGGTTTCATGAGCGAATGGTACAGGACAAGTATGACTTCTGACAGGCATAGGTATGGCATAAAAAGGGAAGAGAGACAAGCATTCATCAAATTGGAGAACCTTAGAGTAATTCCGTTTTCAGTTCCAACACATCTCACATTGATTTGCTTCTCTAGATACTTTTTGGGTTAGGTTCTTCTGATTTCACGTTGCTTTCAAATTTCTTTCGAAAGTCCCTGAAGGGTGAAAGGATCTAGGTTAGAAATCTAAACTACTGGACTTAAGCATCAATGCTTGTTATGAACCCAAAAAACTGAAAGTTGGTGAATTGTACGTAGAAAATGACATTCATGACATCAGTTTACAGATCACTGAGAAACAAAAAATCTGAAAGTCAAAACAAACAAGCAAACTGAATTTGCATCATATTTGCGCGTACGGCACGATCCATCAAAAATACTGAAACAAACCGTAATCACGACCCAGAAGGTGTAGGAGCTGTAGTTTTGTTTTATTTTATCTATTTCGTTCGGCTTTTCTGCTTCGACATTGACTTCAAGTTTCTTCCTAAACTCCCTGAAGGCGAAAAGGCTGAAGATCATAAATCTAAATTACTGGACTTACGCATCAATAAGAAACCCAGAGCTTAAATCTGGTGATTTATAGGTCAAAGATGACCAATTGCGAAGAGAAAATGCTGCAGAAAATGAAATTGATCACGCAGGCTCACAGATCTCTCACAAACAGAATCTTTGAAGTCTGTAAATAAAATCACAATTCGCATCAAAGACCGTGCGAAGAAATCCTTCAGAGGTTTGGAAACAAACCGTGATGACGACCCAAAAGGTGTAGTAGCTGAAGAGGCTCAAGCTGAAGATGAGCAGCAAAAATCCCACTGTTCTATCACCAAGCTCCATCACGCATGAAACCTACTCTCAAACACTGCTTACGCCTGCACGTCCCACGTCGTCACATTATTGCAAATTCTATTGCCACTGCAGAAGGGATTGCTCCCCTTCTCTTCGCCCCTTTCGTTTCCTTACTCGAACAATCAGGAGCCCAAACGTTCCGAAGAAGGAAGAAATGTCAGACGACTAACGGTTTGAGTGAACAGAATTTGATCTCTCGTTGATAACCCACAGTCACTGCAATGTTATTGTCGTAGCTTTGGTACATCAGATCTTTCTTTCTTTCTACCTCCTAAGGTGCAGGAGCCAACGGCAGCAGCAGGCGGCATACGCTCTGCACGCCACTTGAGGCCTTGGGCACACTACCTTGCCTCTTTCACCACCTTTCTTCGTTAGCCCTCCGTGGATGTAGTCAGCTGTTCTACAGCGTCAGTTCGATCGGGATTGAGTTTTGTTGACTTTTCACGTCGGCTGCCGACAGTGAGTATCGAGCTCTTCAGTTGTGGTTATTGTTACCTCTTAGGTGAAAAGAGACCCCGGTCAGTCTTTGACCGTGAGTTACAGTGTTTTACTATAGACTTTAGCGCCGGCATCAAGTTTTGTGGGAGGTTAGATGAAGAAATTGTTCGTTTGCAGAGTGCGCGAATCTTGACTTTCCGTCTGGAACTTGGCACGTCAAATCTTGAATTTCAACCGTTCTACATCTATGTCGCTGTAGATTTTTTGTGGCTGGCAGGTTATAGGTAAGCTGCTTCTGTTCACATGGTCACTCGATTCACGAATAACGTCCCGCAAGACTAGTCTCCTTGGGATACTTCCGTACCATTCATTACTACCGGACAAGTAATTAGCGCTCAAGAATAGAGAGATGTGTAGTTAAAGTAGGAATGGGATCTCATTCCTCCCCCTTTTTTACTTCATTGCAAAATATGTGGCACTCTTTAGACGAAAATCTTCATCAAACAAATGGGGTTTGCTTTGCAATTTCTTCTTTATATACTAATGAGTGGCTTCCACGAGCGTGGAATACAGCTTGGAAGTTTACTATTCACGTTATGATGACCCAGACGTTAAGCTTGCATGAGCATTGTTAGTTTATAGAAGCATTATCAATGACCATACTTGACCTTCTAAGGTTACATATTACGAACATGCTAAAAAATCTGTTGAGGATACAATCCATATGAATACAATTGATATAAAGTCACAGATCAACTTTTCAAGATGTAAAGAGGTTGTATTTATTTTGAAGAGGTTCTTGTACGTGAGCCAAAGAACAATCATTTTCTCCAAAATCAGTTGACATCAGGTATATGAGGGAAAATTTCCTAATGTTCAAAAAATAGCAAACACAGCAACTCAACTCACTTTAGTGATTAGAGACTAGCCACAAGTGCACAGCATAATCCCTCATATAGTTGTGCTATCATCAGCAGTGAAAGTACTTACCTTACCAAACGCAAACCTTCCGGTTTTCTGTATGTTCCGCTCCAGCTCCTTCTTTCTCCGATTGCTAGTTGCTAGCTATGCTTCGATTAATTTGACACTATTCATTCCAGGACATGCATCGATGCTAATATCGGAGGCACATCAAACCATACGAAGCGGGAAAACTTCACTTTCAAAGAGACACCAATTGGGCCCATTCAAGAGAATGATGCTCTCCCTCATTGCTCCACTACATAGATGGACGTGTACTTCGAGGAAGCCCTGTAAAAATGAAGAGTCACAGACAGAGACGCAGGAGGTAAAACTCGTAATTCGCTGTATTCCTCGAGGAGTGCTGAAGGTGCTGAAGGCGGTAGAACATTCACTGAAGACCAGGATCCATGGAACGAAACCATGGAACCAGTCTGTGAAGCGTCCAGGGCACGGCGACATCGGATCGCGAGGACCACGGAGGCAAGAAACTCGCCTTGCCCTTCAAGACGACCTGAAGCGGACGAGAGAGCATCAGGCGACTTTCGCTCACTGTCTGCCACCGAACGCACCTCAATTGTCGGCCGAATTTTCGATTCGACTCCCGACTCCGCACCCGCCTTCCTTGTAGTAGAACTGGCGTACTGTTCGTGTCCTTGCAGCCGATGACCCACTAAAGAGCCAATCGCTCGAAGCGTCCGGAACATTCCCGTTTCCAAAATGGCAAAAAGTGCCCTCGGAAGTTGCAACCGGCTCCATCGAGCTCCCGTTCACATTCACGGGCTATTTACTGTTCATTTTTCTCCACCCTTGTAAATCGTGATCGAAATGCTTCAAAGTTGGAGAAGCAGTTAAATATAGTGTAGACCCACAATCCGTAAATTTGGAAAGGGACGGAAAACTTATCTCTGGTGTAAAATCACGTTGGAAAAGTTTGTCACGATGTTTCCAAAATATTTTTAAAACTGTTCAATCTATTGACATTGGCACGGAGGATTTCAATTTTATTGTCTAGCCTTTATGAACAGCCAGTCTCTTTTTAGATCTTCGAGACATTCCCTTTGTCGACAAGCGGATACCTTTTTTGTCGTATTGAAAGAAGCTAGGCCACGTTCACGTACACGTTGTAAAGTATCTACTATAATTAATACATTGATTTATCAAATGTAAAAGCGATGAAGGGGCGTTTGTACAATATTGGTCTTTCGTATTGGTCACTGCCTTGTTATGTATGCAATATCGTCAAAATTTTCCGCTAGACTCCATAACTGACCTACTCCGCGAACAAGTTACATGCATAATTAGTTGAAGATTTGTGAACTTTTCCAGTCATTGAACAAATTGGCTGTGGTAACCTAAGCAGCTACTAATTTTCGAATAAGTCACTGACACGTTCTTTGACATTCCATGACTGAGACCTGGAACCATGAACCTCCTTAGAAAGAGGTTCTCGGTTTATGCCCTGTGCCAAGAGTCCCACCAGAGTATCTTCTCAGCTCTAAACTCCATACAATTTCGAGGGCCTTATTAGTCAGTTGATTTATGTGAATCTTCCGTATTTAGATGAGGCACCTTGATTCACTAGGATTTTGACAGCAATATCTCCGACATTGTTTAACGTAAAGATGATCCGCTTATTTGTACAAAGTTGTGAAAATGGTGAAGTCTTCTATGGTGCGAAAACTAGTTTCTAATAAACTCGCATCGTCAATTTTGACTCTAGAAATATCCTCTAATTTGGGTTAGTCTTTTCTTCATCGTTGCAATTGTGTACTCTATATTGCTATAATGATGTGGGCAAGTTCACTGCTTAGCGGATAAAATGGAGGGTGGGGTAAACTACCCTTTTCAAGGAAAGAAGTCGCGTTGTGAATTCATAGGCGTGTGAAATGGTTGGATGCATAGTCCCATACTTTCAAAACATCTCTAGTTTTCTGTATAAGCAATCAAGGTAATAAGAGAAGGGAGGGCGAAATAGCAAAAATCCTCGAGACCCATCAAATAGCACGTGACTATATAGTGTAATGCCGTAACTCGAAACCGGCTCTCTTGGCCATGGAGCTCAAGAATTCCAGTTGAGTAGAACCTAAGATCTTGACCGGGTTTGACCGTCAATAGCCTGGAAATTCCCATCGTCTCACCCGGGCCAAGAGAGAGAGCACAGTGGGAGGCTTTCGGGAACAGAAGGGACGGAAGCTGGTGGAAAGAATCGGGTTGGGCGACTTGAACTTTCCATTGGCGGAGGGGTCGTTGCTGATTGACCCCGGAATTCGCTCCACCCGGCCCGTGGTTCCGGAAGCGAACAGCGGAACATGCTTCGCTCTGGCAGTGGTCTGCTTTCGCTCCGGACCCCTGAAAGCGTAACAGCGGCATACAGAGTGAATGTCGTCGCTGGAATTGTGGCGATTTGATCGCGATTTGCTGGAATTTTGATCTGTGCCGACGACCTCCGTTTCTGGCCCGTGACGTGCACTTGTTTTTCAGTATCCTTTTCAGATCCGATCTGCTGTTCGCAGCGGCTGTTCTCTCGAGACGATTTTAGGGGGAGAATTCTGGCCGAGAAAATCATGAGTATGGCATGCCGAAGGACAACGTTGCGGCGCGTCCTGGAGGTGGTGGAGCGCTGTCATAGAAAAGCCACGGGAGCTCTCTCCGATGCCGCTTCTACTGCGGTAGTTTCTCAATCGAGAAAAATCGCCTCGTCCACGAATTCTCTTGCTTTGGTGTGTCTCTCGCCATGTGAGGACACTGTGAGGAGTTTTGTGAACGATTTTTCAGTCTTCTGTTCAAGATTTGCATTAGGGCGTTTGGTAATAGATTGACGCTCGTTGTGAGGTGGCGCAGTGGTTTTATGTTTGGCGACCCTTAAACCCTAGATTTTGTGAAATTCGGAATCTGCAATTACACTGCAACGGAGCTAGTTAGATGTGGATATTTCCTTTGTCGATCAGCTTGCCGTCTGTCGCCTATTGCAGTCCGCATGAATATGCTACCTTGTACTTTCTCATGAGAATCAAAGTTGCGTGTAAATGGCCTAGAAATCTCATATTCAACGATCTTCTCTTGTAAGTTAGGTCTCACTTTTTCGGATATTTGACTGCAGTCACGATGGGGTTCTTCTATTGTTCCAAGGGCAACAATTCAAGTGCCTTTTTTGGAACTTCGGGGTGCAACGAATGCTCTGTCTTTCTCCTCTGCTGCAACCCCTCAGGTCGATGGAAAGGATGGAAGCAGCCCAGGAACCTCAACGGAAACTACTGCCACTCCTGCTAGCACGGAGGACGAGCCTGTCCAAACACAAGGAGGTGCAGAGCGCAAAGGGGGTCACGAGGAAGTGGAGAAGGAGGATATGGTTGGTCTCTTAGCTGAAAAGCTCGCCCTTATCGAACAAAAAGAAAAAGAAGTGAAAGAGCTAAAAGACAAACTCCTTTGGAGCTTGGCAGAGATGGAAAACGTAAGGGACAGAGCGAGAAGAGACGCCGACAGTACGAGAAAGTTTGCTGTCCAGGTATGTCTTGTTCGTCAAATGTATGACTTTTATCAATGTGGGAATTTATTGTGTGAAAAAAAGTAATGCAACTTAGTGTTCTACTTTGAACTTTGCCTAGAAAGATGTATGCATGCTGTTCAAAACAAAGTTTTGTACAGCATGCATGAAACCTCATGTGGAATCCTTTCCTGATTTCATGTAACGTAAGTTACATGGAGATTCATAACTATTCTTATGCACATATTGGAGGAATGCGTGGCATGCTTCTTTCTTATCTGCTAATAAAACTCGCGAGGACTCTGGAAAACAAGGGTCTTCTATCTGTTCAAGGGTCGAGAAGATGTATCTTATATGCCCTCATTCCAGTTTGCATCAAAGACTTACAGCCCAGTTATTTGTGATTCAGAGTTTTGCGAAAGGTCTGCTAGATGTGGCAGATAATTTATCACGAGCAGCCGCTGCCGTGCCAGAGAAGATTGCAAAGTCAAATGCTGCAGATGATCCCACTGGAACAGTCAAGTTACTGCAATCATTATTACAAGGAGTGGAAATGACTGAGAAACAGCTGCTCCAGGTGTGTTCCTAGGCTGACAGGATTTTTATTTTTTTAATTATTCTTGTTTACAACTTTCTACTCGAAATGCTCGGCATGTCTATCATATTCAGGATAATGAGTGCGTTGTCCATTAGCCATGGTGATTTCTCGTGTGATTGTTACTGGTGAGAGGCTGCCTAGAACATTAACTCGCAAGTACAAATTCAATGTCATTCTCTTCATGTAATATCTTGACTGATCCAGATCTTTCAAGTGTAAAGCAACATATCAGTTTACTTACTGATAGTTTATTTTTACTTACTGATGTAGCCAGGATCTCGGATCTGTAGGGCAACAAGAACTCTTGACAAGTTTTAGAGGTTGAGGCTTAATCGGATTCGCAAGTGTTTATCTAGCCGATATGCCTTCAGGTTAAAATTTCCTGCTTATGTGACCGGTGACATTTCGGAGTGACAGGCCTTTAAGAAGCAGGGTCTGGAGAAATTTGATCCGTTAGGTGAAGCGTTTGATCCAAGTAAACATGCTGCCATATTCGAAGTAGATGACGCAACAAAAACTCCTGGAACTGTGGCTATGGTATTGAAGGTATGACTTAACTCTGTTTGCATAATTTGGCGACTTGATATTTCAAATGAAGCTCAGTTCTTTATGGATGTTGACTGTAGCATCCTTCTTAGTAAAGGAAGGAAGCAACCACTCATACATCGTTCTTACTCTTCGCAGGCTGGTTATTCATTGAATGAAAGAGTCATCCGCCCTGCTGAAGTTGCAGTGGTGAAGGAACCCTCAGCATAAGCTCTTCTAGAAAATTTTGTTAGTTCATAGAAATTTGTTAGGCGGGGATCGGACATGAGCTTCTCCGATTCAGTTCTGTTCGAAAATGTCAGGGCTGTCAAAATTGGAGAGTTTCGGTGAAGAAGAAAAGTTAGTTACCCATCCTTTGTGGGTTGTCAAGATATACCTACTAGATTATTATACCTGTTTCAATCATTCAAGATCCGAAAAGATTTCTCAAAAGGTGATATTTCAGTTGTGGCGGGCAAGTACTGTATACTGGAAGGTCGTGATGTAACGTTCTGAACTTAGTTCTGTTGACAAATTCGTCATGAATAAACATCCGACAACCATAGCAACACGTACTTTGAAGTAGCAATAATTGAAGTAATACCTGAATCAAATCCTTCATGTGAAGAAATTTGGAGTGGCAATGTCATCAACTTTGTTCTCGTGATTTGGCGTGACATCGCAAAAGTAAGTTATCCAGGTGAAATGATATCCAGCAAATAGATTTCTTACCCCAGGTACTTCCGCATCTCTTCTGCAATATAAGGTTGAATATAAGATGCTTTGCATGGTAGGGCGGGTGGTGCTCTCATCTCGGTATACAGTCGGATTATCTCAGTCACATGGTATTATCGATCAACGTGATGGTGTTGTATAGAGCTCAGAGGAGTGGACTACTAACACATCGCAGAGCGGAAGCGCAGAGAAGACGTAGGTATACGAAGTGTGAGAAGTTGGTGTTTTCGGATCAGAAAAAACTATTTGGAGGAAAGTACATGTGCCTCTCTATCCTATCAGCAGCAGTGGTGCGAGGTTGCTCAGTTACAAATCAGTACAGCGGAAAGGGCGTCATATATTTGATGCGGATCCACATATTTGGGAAACCGTTGATACCTAGTGACACAGGGGGAGAGAGATAGGAGTGGCAATTTCCAGTTATCGTGCCTTGTCCACAGTCTACACCTACCGTAACGCCAAGGGCAATTTTTTTTTTCTTGTCGGTAATTTTATGATTTCCTGCTTAGCGAGCGTTGAAGCACAATGCGTTAAGGAGAAACATAAACTTATCTCGGAGCAGTTTAGACCATAGACGAGTTGTACACGACTGGTAATGTTGAGAGGATTACTGTGAAAGTGAAGCCAGACGGTAAAGACATAAGTCGTGATAGCTCTACGACAGTTCTTAAAACAACTGGTTTCTAGTCTATTGCAGAGTAACGTCCTCGGCAAATTGATCATTGGATTAGTGAACACATGCGTTTCTGGTAAAGCAACCCGAATTTTGACTATCGTACGCTAAGGCCAATGTGTAAAGGGGAGTACACATTCCCCGGCCTATTTTTTTAGTATTAGTATTTTAGTGAATCCATGGAAGAGCTCTAATGTCAGGAGCCTTGAATTTTCTATTAGCTAAAACTTATCGAACGGGAAGGAATATACGAGAAATTCTTGGCTGATAAAGAAGCCCAGATTCGCAGCTGAGGTCGCTCCTTCCGGTCTTCTCGAAGACTTCATTGTTAGGAAATCGCCTTGATTTAAAGGTGGAAGTAAAAAGATAGCGGATGTGTTGGGACTGAGCAATCAACTTTGTACCATATCATTGTCGAATATTATTGGCCAGAACATACTTCTGATGTAAATGTGGGATACCAATACTTGCATGACGAAATGTCACAGGAAGATTCTTACTTGAAGTAGTTTTAGACACGAGATTCGGAAAATTTTATGGTTGTTTCTATGGCTGCGTACGATTTTGCAGACAATGTAGATCAAGCAGGAGATGTTGTAAAGCCCGTCAGAGTGACATACTGGCAGACTACTCCTTGTCCGACTCGGACCAGTATGTACCACTGTACCTTAGTGCCTTTTAGAGTGCACAAGGTGACGAGGAAATGTGTAAAAGGTAAATAATTGAAAAATCCTTTTCAGATCCTGTGATGCAGTTTGAGGGAAGATGTAATGGCCTGTAAGCGCGGATACCCAAGGGAGGGAGAAGGGCTGATTTGACAGTTCTCGATCAAGCTCTGACAATGGGAGTTGATGGTCAGATACTCGAACGGCAAGCACTCATTTGCTCTGGAGAAAAGCAAGCTGTAGTGTGGGGCTGGAGAGGAGAGGCAGAACACTGTGAGGACGACGGCCAACTCACAGAAAGGAAAGGCGGTCGGAGACTCCTACTCTCTCCAACCGTCTTCACGTTTCTTCAATATTTTGGAGACAGTTCGACTCTCCCTAACCTTGCTTTTCTTAGGCAATGACATGTTTTTGCGGGGTCTGTTTTCTTTGGATGGGCTCGGCTTGCTTCGATCGGGGCAAGTTATTGTGTTCAAATAGAACACAGCTGTGGTCGTGGGCCCAACTCGTCTCTGTTTTGAGTGTGGGGCATCGTCGAGCAGAGCGTCTTCTCGTTTACAAGAGTTCCACAGTTGGCTCAGTAAATCGTCGTCCGTATCCTCGAACTCATCAGCCAAAAACTCGTCACTTAATTGAGGGCCCACGGTTTCTACGTCCGTCTCTGAGCCAGATTTTGCATCTTCTTCACCGTCTTCTAGTTCCAGAATTGTCACGCCTTCTGTTTTATTAGATTTCTTTTGCGATGGGATTTTCTTCTCCTTAGACTCTTTGAGTTTAGCCATTATGTCTCGGGGATTCAGTTGTCTGGGAGATAACGACGCACTGGCCTTGGGATTTGAGGTCCGAATTAGAGGCAGTCGCCTCTTCAAATCGGAAAAGTTCCATTCCAAGCTGCAGGCGTTCCTCGGTTTCAAAACTTCCGGGGATGATTGTTGATGTGACTTTCTCGCACCTGCAAAGAGTGTGTACGTGCCTGCGTGAGTAGCTGGTTGCTGCTGAAGATATTCAACTCAAGGAATTTCTGCCGATTGCTATGATTCATACAAGTGTCACGTTATTCCCACCTACATCCACCTAACCTATCAGATATGCTTGATTACGGGAGGTCCCATATAATAAAACCTTCCCTGTAGTCAATGCGAGACATGACTCCGATGCTAGCAGGCTAATCCCGCCATGATCAGGACGAGGCTAGAAAGAATGACCTGGAATGGTGGACTTGGCACTCTTGATCTTGCGTTGCATAACCTTCAGAAGCAAATCCTGCTCCCTGCACCGTCTCAAGGCAGCCATCCATTCACAGAGATGCAGGAGACTTCTGATTCAGTAAAAGACTCAACAGCAAAATCCTACGAACCCTAAAGATTTTTGCAACAAGCATCTGCCTCATGACATGTTCTGGTCGTTATACCCCGAGGAGTCTACGTCCCGTGACCTGCTTTTGGCGAAACTTCAGGAATGTCAGTTTTCCATGCTGTTCCATGCAATGCAAATCCAGCACAGCACCGGACTCACTGATTGAACTAGTTCTCCTACCACCTCGTCCTCGGTGTGTATGTCTGTGGTCCAAATTGCTTTGTGTGAAAAAAACCCAGTCAAGGGTGGGTGTCCACCATACCATTGGTCGATGAGTCGATTCGTGAATTTCTTCTGCGGTCGAATCATCGCAGCTCTTGTTGCTACAAACTCTTCAACCAGGAGTACTGCTAGTCACTCACTCCTACTGTAGTCTTCATCCGGACGATTACTCCTTCTCTTTCTCTGCCGAGCCGTGGACCACAAGCGTCCTGCATCGGACACCCCCCAACGCATCGCTCTCTCCTGTTCAAGCACATCGTACATTGCCCCGTCCCGTAGAAAATTGAAATACAAAAAGCACAGGCCCCTGTCAGACGCCATCAATTCTCTCCTTCCCATCTTCTTCCGTCTTCCTCAGGCCGTTACAAACCCTTTTCTCCTCTTCACCCCTTCACCTTCACCCCCCTCCTCCTCCTCCTCCTCCGTCCAAGCAAAGACACAGACTCTCCTCTGCTTCCGACGTCCCCTCCAAATAAAGCACGAGCCTTAAGTCACGAGCATCAGCGCCTTACAACAACCACTTCCGCATTCACGCACTGCCAATTCTCAGCCCCTAAACCCCTCCCGACCTTCTCTTCCGCCAAATCCTTCTCCCTCTCAGTCCCCATGGTCCATGCCTGCCCAAGCCTTCTCTCCCCCATTGCCCACCCCATTCTCCATCCTCCATCCACCGTCCCCTAACAAAGAATGTCCCAAGAGCATACAATATCCCACCTCTCGGCATCCGCGGCGAACCGCCCCACCCAAACCCCCGAAATCAACCATCTCCTCCTCCAGGAATGATGATCGAGCCCATGAGAACCCTACTCCTCCTCGTCGCCCACCTTAAATCGTGCATTTCTACTTCACCACCTTCCACCCTTCCTCTTCCTTGTCCCTTTCCCAACTCGACATGACACGCGCTCCTTTTCCTAAATTTGCACAAGCCAAAGAAAAGAGCAAGCAACAAAGAGACATCAGGGAACGTACCCTCGGACAGACAGGGGCACAGGATCAAAATGTCGTCGCTGCTGCAGCTGCTCGCGTTTCATGTGGCGCCTTCCAACCTCGGAACCAGCATGAGCTTGCTACCGTTATAACGACCATCGTGTCCGCGCCGCCGGACATCTAAACCTCGACGGACCGGAACGGCATCCGACGGTTGACGGTGGACCCGGACGTGAACCGAGGTTTAAGGTTCACGCGAACCTTGACCCGCGGGTGCAGTTACCAACACCTGTGCTGGACCATCAGGAGGTGAAAGGGCAGGCCTACGATCATACGATTAGCAAATCTCGTGGCCATGATCGTGGATTATTTATGGCGATTGATCTCTTTTATCCATATCTTCTTGGGGGCTGCTGTTTCAGCAATCAATTTTATTTCACAAGAACGGGATCTGGGTGGACTGCTTGGTGCTGCAATGTCTCCAGCATGTTCAAGCATTGGTGAGAACTGTGCTACCGTACTGGGGTACGATATTCTCGTGTAATTAAACATGATTTCATAACAATATAGGTTGGAAGCTGAGAGACCAAGGAAGGTGGAGCATTAACACTGGGATATATGTGATATAGTGTGTCCTCTTTTCCACTGAGATCAAACCCTTCCATGGAGACTCTTTTGGTCACGGTCCAGAAATCTGCAGCTTCAACAAGTCTGCGGTAAGTGGCCATAATGAACTGAGGAAATGAAGTACACCTGCGGACTGACAAGAGTGTTAGCTTCTACATTAGCTTACGAGCCATGAAATGCCAGGTTTGTCATTCTCATGCTGCTTCAGATTTCAAGAGAGGAGCAGAGGAGAGGAGGTTTAATCGACGAGATGGACCCCATCATGTGGAGGTCGTGCTCACTGGCTGTGTTTTAGGTTGGGTTGGTCTACACTGCAGCACCAAGAAGTTTGATGGATGACATGAAAGGGAGTCAACGAAAGGAGCTACATTACTGACTAATGTGGCGACCTCAAATTAGAATTGTACAAGTGCTGGCAAAAGTAAAGGCCACCGTGTGATTTTTGCCTCCCGATGAGTCGTAAAGTGCGTGATGATTCTGAAGCGTAGTTTGAAAAGGGTTGCAGTCGGCGCTTCTCGATGCATATGGATAAATTTCACTGAAGGGTTTCCAATGAGGATAACTTCGAACAAGAGACATTTCAACTCCCGGAAACTCCAGTCAGAACATCAGCTCCCGGACCCTTTCAACACCTTGAAATCTCAACTGCAATCCATCCCTGCGTTTGTGAGAAATCTACAATACACTATCTCCTCCAGTGTCTTCTTGCCTACGTCAGTTCGTAGTCTCTTGTTTGTCATCAGGTCTCACAACTGGTCTCACAGTTGGGTCTGCAAGAAGCATCGGTCTTGACAAAGCTAATTCTGGTCATCAGCGTTGAGCAAACGATGATGCCGGTAATGTAATTTGACAGTGCATCACAATTGAAACAATTCTTGAATCCACCTGGTTTCTCCTTCCAGGGGAGAAGGCTTGTTTCTAAGTAAAAGAATCTCAGGTTGTGGTGGTCAATATATAAATATAACTCAGCAGGAAGTAAAATGAAGAAAATGATGGGAAGACCTCACGTTGCCGCGGTCTTTCGTAATGGAATTCGGTCATTACATGGAAGCGATCATCAATCAAGTGCCGGACAAATAGGAGGGGAGTAATTTACGAGGACAGGGCATGTGCCTAATCCGAAGAATTTTCAAATGCAGTAAAACGCCATAAGACTACGTATCAGACAACTTTGTAGCTTTCAAACAAATTCATGGTCTTGCAATAAAGCAGAAAAGGCAGAAGAAAAGTCGTATCATCCTGTACCTACAAAAGTTTCAGCCTCTATGCTGAGGAAGTAGGTTGATCAAATCTCTGAGAGTACCCATCAGGCTTGGAAACAACACCAAAAGTATATGATAAAAGGTAGATGGATGCAAGCATTGACCACTGAAAGGAAGAATTTTTGTTCGATGCATAGCATGGCTGCATTATTCCTTCCCAGAGAAGCCAATTTTCTTGAGCTAGAGTAGGGTCATACCGACCAAACGTATGACTTAGGAAACTTTTGTTCGTTTGCGGTCACGGGGAAACAACAAAAGAGGACGAATACAAAGGGGATTGAAGTGCGCGCAATTATACAAATTTGCTTTTCGTTTTCAACTAAAGCAACTTCACGCACCCTCGACAACACGAAATCTTTAGGGGCTCTCGTAGGCCGGAGACAGGTCCTTGACTCGTAGTCTAAGTTATTCTAATTCCGGATAAGACCCCTTTATCCTACAAATCGTTTTACCCGACAAAGTATTCACAACCCGATTGGCAAAAGATCATTTATCCAAAATGTTAGCATGCCAGAAAAGTCAGCTCTTTTGCAGCAAGCCGTGATCCAAGCTCTGCACACGCTCCGCTGCAATCTGGTGACAAGCGTAGCTTTTGAAGCACCTACAACGTGTGTTTTCACATAATCTCACACCGTGACACAAGAGTCCATCACTCCCACTTTCACCCGTAGGTCTTATCTCCAGTGACCAGCCACCATCTCACCAAGGCTTCATTGTTAAACTAATTTCTCATTTCCAAGAAACTTGTCGAGACGTTTGGGAGAACCTAGAAACTGCAGCAGGAGGCATTCATCCCCAAATATCGCAGCGTAGATACCCTTCATGTTAGAAACTGATAACTAGAAGCATTCTGCAATTTTTTGAAAGCTAAAAAATGATCCATACCTTGATAAGATATTGGGAAATAGTGTGCTGATTTATCATGCACCAACTTTTCGTAAGGACGAGCATGCAAACTCGAAAAACGAAAGTACCTTTCACGAAAACGTACCGACCAAAGAAACCGAATAATCGAATACACTTCCACCTTTCCTTCACTTTAGTCCGACGAGAATATCAGTCCGAAGGTTCGTTCACAAGCTGCACGTGTTTAGGTCCTTGTCTTCCAATGCATCAAACAAAATGGGAAAAAGAAACTCAGTACTTGTGGTCTTTATGTACTCCTCTGGAAAGAGACTACGTAGGATTCGCAAAACGAAAAGGATCACGCAGATAGATCGCTCATCAAACCATATCTGTTCCATTATAGTCACCCCATTTGATGTCAACTCGTCTATCGCCAGCTGCAAGAATGCGGCGAACATGGAAATGGTCATACTCGTACTGTAAATATCAACTGCAACCGAGATTAGCGGTGGTATTAGTTTGCTAATACGTGATCAGGCCCTGATTTTAACGACCAATTAATGATATCGCACTTTCACTGGCATATAAGTACTATCGTTTAAGAAGCCTCTGCCAGCTTTTACCACCTACCCTTCGTACAAACCTGAGCACCACTTTAACTCAGCGGAAAACTTCCATGGTTCCATCATGTTCAAAACTGGCTCACTCACACTTGGTTTGCCCATTCTATTCCACACCATTCTTGCGTTTGATTCCCACGTGTCACTAAATCCACACCATTTTTCCCTCCCGGTTCTCAAGTATAATCAGAAATTTGTGTCCTCGATTTATGCCTGAAAGATTTTATGGACCTGTTCAGTTCAACGGTAAATTCTTGTGGTGAGGGGGAGTGGGTTTCGTGGGATTTGTTCAATCCTTGTTAAATAGTTTATGGTTGTTCCTTGAAAACCCCCATGGTTGCGATAATATGGATGATTAACATGATATTATAAAGTAGAGAAAGCAAAGTTGCACGATGATCAAAGATTTCCTCAAGGAACCTCGAATGAAGTTCCTAAACCATATGTGATAGATCTGACATCTAGCAATTTAAGGCTCACAAGACGCTCGTGAGTGGGAAGATGCGGTCCACCGAGTCTCACATGGATTCAGGATACGGCAATACGAGAGAAACTGCAGGATGACCACGTCTTAGTTTCTCAACTCAATTAAGATGGAGGAAGGTTCTACCACAAGCCCCATAGATATTTTACAACTGTCAACTAGTTTCATCAAACAGTGTCAGATATTGATTCACATTCAGCACTACCAAACCAACCCCTTCGGCTCTCTCCCTCTCATCTCACCCGGATGAAAGAGCCAAGACATTTTCTAGCAAACGACACAGAAACATTGTGAGGTAAAAAGCAGAGGATTCTTTGAATGACTTGTGAATTGTTCGAGAATCTTCCCCGCCGATGCATTCCACAGAGCAAATCTTCGTACATTATCATGGAACAGTGAAACCAAGGCACATCCAGACCTTGCTACGTCTGCCAGTCTTACCTCCCTCTCGCCATTCGGTGAAGATTTGTCTATGGAAGAATTCGGAGACCAACAGGGTGCTTTTCAAGAGTCGGTGCTAAAAGGTAGCACGGGAAATACTCAGCTCACTCATTGGATCGAATGATATTCCTTGACTTTACAGAGACCGTTACTGTTTTAGAGAAGACGATTGAAAACGGTTGTGGAATCTGGATGGCTGGATGGCTGCCAAGCTCACTTGGGCTGCGTGGTCTCGAGACTAGGAGCTAAAGAATTTCCAACTCGAGCAAATCAACCATGCAATGGCTGCCACATGGCCCCATGAGACACCCAGCTCCATGACATCGTAATCTGCTTGCATCAGCATTGATGTGGATTCGCTCTTCTGGAAAATGAATTGTAGATTTAAGTTGTGGCCACTCGATCCAAATGCA